CATTTCCCACAAAACTTACCCTTGAGTAGGGAAGGGCTGAGAAACCACCTTAGATTCATCCCTAAAAGTGCTTTTTTTAGGCACAAAACCAAAAGGTGATGTTTGCAGCACACAGGATGGTGCACCCCTTCCCCCAAACCCTCTCAGGGAGGAGGAGGGCAAAGAGCAGTGTCACCCCAAAGAGGGACCATCCTTAAGTTTAATCACCTTCGTTTCAAAAGAGAAACAAACTGAAAGAAAACAAAATTGGGATAATTTTTGGAATGGGGTGCCCAGAGAAGCTGTGCCTGCCCCATCCCTGGAGGGGTTCAAGGGCAGGTTGGAGGGGGCTTGGAGGGACCTGGGCTGGTGGGAGGTGTCCCTGCCCAGGGCAGGGGGGGTGGAACTTGATGATCATTGAGGGCCCTTCCAGCCCCAACCCCTCTATGATTCTATGTGTTAAACAACATTCAGTCCTGGAAATGTGTGTAAAGAAACACAGACAGGCTTTTTTCATTATTTTAATTGCTGTAGAAGGGTAGAGGCCTCAGGGCCAGGTTTTGCTGTCGCGGTGACAGCCGTTTCTCTCCCTCCTTTAGGAGCATCATCGACGAAGCCAGGAGCCTCCTGCGCAACGCCGCCGGCAACTTCTACATCAACGATAAATCGACGGGCGCCGTGGTGGCTCAGCAGCCCTTTGGGGGCTCCCGCATCTCAGGTGAGACCAGAACCTCCTCCCTGGAGCCACCCTTTACCTGCATCAATCTCCAGGCAGGTCCCCATCCTCCATCTCTTGGTCACTGATGCTTTTTCCACCCCCCCTCCCCAAACTTTGGCAACAGGCACCAACGACAAGCCCGGTGGCCCCCACTACATCCTGCGCTGGACGTCGCCCCAGGCCATCAAAGAGACGCACGTGCCGCTGCGGGACTGGCGCTACGCCTACATGCAGTGATGCCTTCTCCTGGCCACACACCCCAACTACTGATCCCCACCCAACGCACAGAGTGGCTTTGCTGCTACAACCTTAAAAAAAAAAAAAAAAACCCACAAAAAGAAAGCACTTAAATCTACTGATCTCTAACCTGTGGAGCTTAGGTTTTATTTTTAAAGTAAAAAAATTATATTATTAAATTGTTAACTCAAAGGAAAAGTCCTTGTGGGTTTTTTAGTTATGTGAGTAGGTTTAGTTAATTAATTAAGGGGTGGTTGGAGGTGTGGCTGTAGAACACACCTGGACTCTGCGTTCCCTTTTCCCCCCGTTTTGTCCATCCCAAGCTGTCCAGTGCTGGAATTAGAGCAGAGATGGGCGTTAAGAGGCTGGCCCTGTCCCACTCACCTGTAAAAAGCCACGTCCTCCCCTTCCCTGGCCCCAAGGCCTCCCTTCCCCAGCAGAAACCACTGGAAGGTGTGGGCTGTGTGTCCCAGCCTCCCTGGGCTGGTTTTAAACCAGAAATCAATCCGGTGGGAGCCCTGAGCCGTATCTTCTCCCCGTTCTCCAGCAAGAGCAAAGCCCTCCACACCCCCAGAGGGTTCTGATGCAGGAAAAGAACATGGCAGAGGGTGTGTGTTGTGCCAGGAGAGGGTGGCTGTGAGGGCAGTGCTGCCTAGAAGTAAGTTTAAGGGCCTTATCTCACCCCTCTGAAGTCAAGGGCTGGGGTTACCTGCACCTTACCTTGCAAACGGGTGCTCAGGCAGGTGGAGCAGCAAAACCCACCTTGGTCCCCTTGGTTCAACACTGATGGTGAAGCCAGGCCATCTCCAGTGCTTCCCATTGCTGGGCATTGGCTGCTTCCACTGCTCCAACCCCTGGAGACATTCCAGCCCAGGTTGGATGGGGCTCTGAGCATCCTGGGCTGGTTGAAGATGTCCCTGTACGTTCATGGCAGGAGGGTTGGACTAGATGGTCTTTAAAGGTCCCTTCCAACCCCAACTATTCCATGATTCCAAGTCTGTTAGAAGGAGGTGGGAAGACCTTTGAGATGTTTCAATAGTAGGAAAGCTCCTGCACAAGCTGCAGAGGTGGATGCCTTGTCCCTCCTCCCCCCAGAAGGGATTTAAGTGCTGGGACAGCAACGGGAGGTCTGCAATCAGTAAAGCAAGATGCATTTCCCTGTTGTGCTGTGTCCAGGACCCCCCTCCCATCCCAGGACACAGGGATCCTCTGACACAGGTACCTCTCCGAGCTGCCAAATTAAGCAGTTTAATTAGTTCTGACCTTTGTTGCTGTGACCCACACGGGCTCCACCACACCATCAGCCGGGTCTCGGGGACGGTCCTGCGACACAAACAGGAAAAAGGCTCTTAAACCCAGAGCCCTGCATCCTTCCAGGGTCATTGCTGCTTTAGAAACGCACAAATCTCTAACACCCACAATTAATAACTGTTTGATTAGCAGGATTTGCAGAGGGTGTGGATAACCCCATTAGGGCTGGTGTCATAAGCATTAAATATTGATCTTGCCCACGACTGGGCAGGTGTTCAGCTGTGGGTCATGACCAAGTGGCATTAATACCTGTGAATCCTGGTTCCACTGAGAAAATTTGCAATAAAATAAACAACAAAAAACCCCCACTTTGTGTCCTTTTATGACTTAGTTTTTCAAATTGTTGCCAAATAAAGAGTGAGATCAAGCGTGCATTCACTATCTTTAGCCTGTGCAATGTGATAAGAAAAAGATGGAGACCACAAGGCAGTGCCCAAAAAAGCTGCTTCTGCTGTTGCTGTTGATCCCAGCAGCTCCCCTTCACACTCTTGCACCCAATGCCAACCAATCTTCATGTATATTAATTACTTCTTTAAAAAAACCCCACCTTTCTGCTCCTGTCTTCAGCAGTTCAGCCTTTCCCAGCGACTCTGCAGGACCCCCAGGCTGCCACGACTCTACCTCTGCACACACTCACGCTGCAGAACCCCCAAAAAGCAGCCTTTTTGTTGCCCTTCTCACCATGTGCTCTTCCCAGAGAGAAAAAAAAATAGCCAAAAACCCCAAATAAAAGCCCCCCAGCTTTGTATTTTCTGCTCAAACTAAAACACTCTCCTTGCAGGAAGATGGGAGAGGCAGGAACAATCGAGGAGGTGCCTAATTCAGTATCATCCGGGTTATCACAAAGCATCCCCTTGCTGTATGTACTGGGAGGGCACGTGGGATCCCAGTTCAGCTCCAAAACACCCCCAGTCCCACAGCAGGAAGGGAAGGGTCGGACCAACCCCCGACTTCAGGGAAGGTCTCCCAACCCCTGGAGATGGTCCAGGTGGGACCACAGCAATGATGTCCTGTTCAGCCAAGCCACCTCCTGCTGCCCAGCTTAGGATAAGCTCCCCCCCAACCTTCCCAGATTGGCCCCATCAGCTCAATTAAATCTCGTTAAGGGCTCTGCCTCGCACCCTGAGCCATGGCCAAGGTGCCCAGAGCTCCTCCAAGCCGCTGCCTTCGGCTCACGCCTTTTATGACTTAAGGCCAGAGTGTCAAGTGGATTTTTTTTTTTAGCCTTAACTCTGAATTTCATGGCTTTTGTGACTTTAAATCAGTCCCCTAATGCTATTTAAACAGTTGGCTTTTTGAAGCTGATAGAGGCTTGGGCAGGTGTTTGGGAGAGGCAGGGGCTTTGGCAGCAGAGCCCCAGGCACCCCCTGCTCGGATGCTCCTGGACTGCTCTGCCCTCCGCCGGGAAAACAGGGATGGGGAAAGGGAAGGAGGGATTGGGGAAAAGGAAGGAGGGAGGGAGGGAAGGAGGGAGGGATGGGGAAAGGGAGGGAAGGAGGGAGGGAGGGGGAAAGGGAGGGAAGGAGGGGGGGAGGGGGAAAGGGAGGGAAGGAGGGAGGGGTGGGT